CAAGATATGGCACGCCAATTGATCCACTACCCCATTCGACCGCATACAACGAAGACATTCGTCCTTACGGAGAGAAACCTCCATCGAACTCAGACTCTAATTTTTGGGGAACTGCTCGTACAGGCATCCCGGATGATCGATTCTTCGGAACCCCCTTGAACCCTATATGAAGCCACCGCCCAACTTCTCTCAAGATACCGAGAGAAGAAGGCACGATATTACAGGGCTACCTCGTTCCTTGCTGTCTTCAGGAAAGGAGGTGCGACTACTGCGGCAGGGGGCAGAGAGCAAAGCTTTGGAACCCCCTAGGTGCGACGACTCTACGCCTTACGAGCTCGAGATCGAAATCGTCGAGTAACCAATATGTTGGGAGGATATCAGCGACGGCGTAACCCCGGAAGAACACACGGTCATCCGAGAGGAAGACGCTCAAATGGTCGCCACCATATTTTCCTGGCGATCGGACAACTCCTTCATCTTTGTTCCCCCTGCAGGGAACAATCCTGTAGTAAGCACAAAGCACGTGACGATTACCATACACAGACAGCCGTACGAGCTGCATGTGCCTCAATATATACCCAATGAAACCCATCAATTAATTGTGGATATTCTGACCAAATATCAAGGGGCGACTAGTGTAGCAGACATAAATATCGGACTATCGTTAGTCATTCAACACGAAATTCAGACCGGAACGCACTCGCCGATCCATTGCAAACCGTACCGGTATTCTCTCGCAGAACAGAAAGTAGCATTGCAAATAATCATAGAATTGGAGGCTAACGGATGGATCGAACCGGCGACCGGACCTTGGTCGTTTCCCGTGGTCTTAGTCCCGAAGAAAAATGGGTCGATTTGCATTTACATCGATTATAGGAGGTTGAATGATATCACGATTAAGGATGTGTACCCCCTTCCCCGGATTGATGATCTGTTGGATGTGATTGGGTGTGCTAAGTATTTCGGTAAGTTTGATATTCGCCATGGATTTCATCACATTTGGTTAAGGAGGAGGATCGGCCGAAAACGACCTTTGTGTTATTTGAGGGCACTTGGCAGTGGGTTCGTTGCCCAATGGGAATTTGCAATACACCAGCTACTTTTCAGAGAGCGATGAACGTCATGTTTCAGAACTTCGTCAACAAGACCAGGCTAGCTCAATCCATGATTAATTGTTGCGTCATTGTGTACATGGACGACATCCTCATCTACTCGGAACCATTCCACGGGCATGCACAATATATCAAGTGGACACTTGGGGCGTTGCAGGATGCTGACTTCAAGATTGCGTTGGAGAAGAGTGAGTTTTTTCTTTCGGAAATCTTGTTCCTGGGATACGTGGTGACTCGGGGAGGCTTACGACCAGATTTGAGAAAGGTCGTGGCCGTTCGCGAGCCCCCGCGCCTATGTCGTTGACGAAGGTCCGTGCCTTTTTAGGGCTGGCCTCGTACTACCGCCGATTTATCAAGGCATTCGTAGCAATAGGACGACCTCTAATGAATCTTCTACGAAAAGACCAGCCGCTGAGTTGGGACGCCAAGTGCGAACGAGCCTTTGCCACCTTAAAGGAGGCTTTGGCCACAACGCCCATTTTGATTCGGTTTGACCCGAGAAACAATTCATACCTATCATGGACTGGCAGCCCGAAGCAATCTCCGCTATTTTGGCTCCGAAGGGGAAAGACGGTCGCGAACACATCATCAAGTACGCGTCGCGAATGGTACCGGACGAAAGAAGAAACGATTCGGCTCCTTAGGGAGAGTGCTACGCGGTTGTTTGGGGGATTCAGCACTTCCATCCGTATTTGTACGGACAGAAGTTCCTCCTTGTCACAGACCATGAGCCCCTGCTGGCTCTCAAGAGGCTTACTAACTACACGGGCATGATCGGACCTTGGGCGGTGCGACTGCAAGAATACAATTTCGATATCGTCCATCAGAAGACAGAGAAGCACGGTAACGATGACAGACTGACATGCTTGCACGGACTTAGCAAGGTGGTCAAGGACGAAGAGATCACACTGTGGAACGAACCGGAACCAACCGGCGAGCCCTCGTACGAACAGATGGCCATCCTCCCTCGGACTCCAAGAAGTGATCGGCATACACAATGGCGATAGGGCATAGAGGTAATCCCGAAGGTCCTCTTTCTCCCCTCTCGTCCTCCTCTTTTATCTCCCTACTGGATAAATTTTGCTATTTTTGCGAAGCAATCTCGAGAGTCTACTCGGTCCCTATACATCCTAGTGGGGAAGGGTACGTCGAGTGGGTAGACTGTCAGCGGTGTGTCTTGCAAGCTCACGGTTCCTGCATCCAGTATAGAAATATGGGTAAGTCCTGGTTATGTCCCTTGTGCCGCACTGATAAAATTCCGACGGAAGCTCGGTTTCTCGAAGCCACGTCGGAAGGGTTGGAAAAGACCCGATGATTTAGAAGGGTCGAGGTATGGACATATGTCGTCTTGATAGCTACGGTGGTTGGGAACTCCCTCCGAGACTTCACTAAGGAGGACCGGAGGAGGGCCAATGAGAGGGCATGGGACTACCGATGGAATGAGGGACCGTTAGAAAAGCGAAAGACGGATGGAAGTAGGATTTGGATGTTCGTGCCTCATCTGTTCATGAGGTATGACTGGGTTACGTCGACCCACGAGGAAACAATGGCTCACTTCGCCGTCCGGATCACGGAGGCAGCGATCAATAAAAACGAATGGTATTGGTCCAATATTCGCGACGATGTTAAATTCATCGTCCGAAACTGTCCCGTCTGTGCCGCCGACAAGGCGCCGGTTCAACCGCCTAGATCGATAGTGGCCACCGTACTTGAACGGTCGTTCCAAAGGGTCAGCATAGATACCACAGATATTGTCGTGCCGCCTGGACCAAATAGTTGTGAATATTCACTTCTTTTGGTGTTTGTGGATCACTTTTCGAAATGGATTGAGGCGTATCCTTGCAAAACGCGACAAGAGGCGAAAATCGCGCGGTATGTCAACCGTTTTCTCGGGATGCATCAGGACACAGAGGAGATCTTAACAGACAATGGAGCAGAATTCCGAGGGAAAGTCTTGAGGAGTCTGGTCCTACACTGTGTCTCAGTCCACAATACTGCCCCCCATATGTCACAATCGAACGGACTGGTAGAAAACGCCGACCGGGTAATCACGACAACATTACGGCGTAATATCGCGGCGAAAGATACAAAGCCTTGGCCCGATATCATCGACCACATCCTAGCTATTCATCGAGGGACACCCCACAAGTCTACCAGCCAGACCCCCTTCCAATTACGGACCAATAGTGTGACCTGTATAGCCCTACCGAGCCTAAATGATGAAACGACCCTTTCGCGATGGGCGACTAGAGCGATGGTCAAAGATAAGGCGCAACGCCACCTGGAATTAATGGAAAAGGCCCTCCCCCGGCTAGCCCGAAAAAGTCAAAAAATGATTGAAATGGCCCACGGACGACAGATCCGGAGCTACGAGGCCCGAATTGGGAACGTTGGACCTCGGCCCCAGTATAAGTTAGGGGACATACTGCAGGTGAGGAAATGTGCTCGCAAAGGTAAGCTAGCACCACGATTCTTCGGGCGATTTCGTGTAGTCGAGCTCGCTCATCTCGGTCCTAGTGGAGTGAACACAGCGCGGCTCGCTCTGGAGGTGTCGGGAAGTCGATCAGCTCGCCCGGTCATTCGACACGTGTCCTACCTTCGACCTCTCCCATCTTCCACTTCTCTTCCATCATCCACGTCGTCTCTCTACAGCGAGGAGGAAGACGACCATCTCGACTCCTCAGCCCTCGTCTCCCTTGCCATCACCATGAGTTTTTCCACCGAACAAGTCATCAGCGAGCGGTTAATGGTACTACCTGGGGGAGCCATCTCTGCAATTCGGCAAGTACAACGTCCTCGACTGAGTCTTGATCGTCTTCGATTCACAGCCTTCTTAAGTACATTGGCCATCCACGCTGCGACGGAGTTCGGATTCACGCATTCCGAGGCAGCACGTGTATTGGCCGAGGTGTCGGCCTTCCTACGCCTGTCTCCACCTGGCGAGAGCCACATGTCCATCATTGTAGTCTTCACAGGCAACATCACGACGCTGCATCCAGCAAGGCATACCAAGATCTTCCAGCAGTTGCGGGGCTGGGCAACGGACATCACGACTGCATGGGTGCGATTTCTGGCTCGGCCGCGCGATCGCATCGTGACAGCCAACGACATCGATCTCCAGCTTCGGGTCTCCTCCACCGCTCCAGAGGTCCTCCTCCCGGAGCTTCGTCCTTTCGCCAGGCCTCAATGAACCGTTACCGCCTCTCCACCTTCGGCCTTCCATCCGATACTCCTACATTTTGGCAGTCTGTTGTGGACCCCGCTCTATCCTTCAGATTAGGCAGTTGGACGTGTCGATTCTGGACGCGGCCAAGTGGGCATAGTGGTGGCACGCTTACGTGGCACTCAACTTCTGCCTCCTCGAAGTCGTCTTCCATTGGGCGAAGCCTGCTGACAAGAGCGAGGAGGACGAGATCTTGGACGACGAGGTGGAGTTATTGATCATCTAGACCTGGAGAACGGACACGGAGGGATAACTTTTGGGGATCCTGTTCGAGGACGTGCGGGACGACCGTTTTCCATTGGGCGTAGCCTGCTAACAAGAGCGAGGAGGACGAGATCTCAGACGACGAGGTGGAGTTATTGATCATCTTGGCCTGGAGAACGGACACGGAGGGAGAACTTTTGGGGATCCTGTTCACGGAAGTGCGTCACAACCACCTGGACTCGATTACGAACGAGTTGCTAGTGTTTGTGGCCCAGCTACTGGACGATCTGCCTTTGAAGATCCTCTCGCGCTGCGACGAGAGGCCGGGGATGGCCACACTCGCTCGTACCTTGGTCCCCCATCTCCTATGGTCTACGTGCACGAAGCTTGACGAGGATAATTGCTACTATCCCTCAGGGGGCGCTTACCTGGTCATCGATGTCACTGATCTCCCCTTCTAGGACCCTCTCATCCGGCGAGTGAACATAGGAGAAACCAATGAGAAAGCCGAAGAAGAGGAAGAAGCAGCCGAGGAAGAAGTCCAGGAGGACGATCATCTTCAGTACACGGAAGGAGAGGAAACATCTGAGGAGGAGGAATCGGAGGCTGAGTTGGACGATCCCAATTATCGCAAATCGGAGGACGCCGAGTCGGAAGAGGCCAACTTGGGACGGGAGGAGTCTGAGGAGGGAGAGGGCGGGTCAGGTGAATCGAGTGGTCCTGCCGAGATGAACAGGGAGGAGAAAGAGGCCGTGGCACAAAGAAGACGAGCGGCGGCGGAGGGCAAGCAGCTAATCGAGGAATCAGAAGGGTTGTCGTCGCAACTGCCGCAGGGCGACCCGACGCTCAATCCAGAGCCACCACAGGAGGAGATCGAGAGAAATGGAGGCGCCACTGCAGAGGGATCGGGAAGGCGACGCCGCCGAAGAAGTGAATTGTCGGATCAATCCTCTCCACGGCCCAACCTTCGCCTACGTCGAGATGCGGGCGCTCGGGCTTCCTCCCCGGTCGTTATTCCGCTGTTCCGGTGACTTCCTCACCCTTCAACAGCTCACAGGCCGACCCCCGTTCCCTGACGGATGGCACCCCTAAGTTTCTGCCTTCCCTTTTCCACCATCTCTACTCCACCCGCCTCCTGGTCATTGTCTTCCCACATGCTACCACTCGCTCGCTCGTCACCTCTTTCCCCCTCCACGTCCTTCTCTTTAGCGTAGATTGGCAGGAATTTAATAATATAGAGCTTTATTGCCTGATCGCGGGCACAATCTCCACATGCGAAGACTATGAAGACTTCCACGCTGTCATCCGCCGCACCCTCTGCAATCTCTACCCCGACTACCTCGCCTCCCTCCATCACCAGCGTCAACACCCGCACTTCCCTCGTATCCATCACAGTATCTACTATGTCCCGCTCCCCACTGGTGACAGGGAAATCCGTCGCTTCATGCCTCCCCTTCCGCATGCCCATCCACCACCGCCTCTACCTGTCAAAAGATTGCCTTTCCCGGGTAATGTTTAGGATTAAGCGCACGAATGTCACGATGGATGACTTCCACACTCGGATCTTACGGTAAATGGCACGTGCAAGCTCCGCGTCAATCATCGGATCACGGATCGACACCTAATGAGAGAGCAAGCAGGAGTTTGCTCAAGATTGGAACCCCCTTGGCACCACATATGTGACGAACTATTTTTTGTAATCGCGCGACTTTCTGCACGAAGCTGCTTCATGGGTTGGGGACTGGTTGGTCGAGTGGAGTGCATGGGTATGGGTCGGCTGGGCAAGTTGCATGAATACCCTCGCTTCTTTCTTTTTGGCTTTCGGGACCAGGGCCGAGAAAGTCCTACGCAGACGATTGGGTGACCTCGCCCTAGTGAGCGCGATAAATAACGGTCGCCACGGCTCCATTCTTATTATGTTGTGGGAAATGAGACTTTTGGCGCGATCAGCGCGCGGGAATGTCGTTTTTCAAATTTTTAACTGATGTCGAGCCCTCACAGACTCTCAAAATTGTTTTTCTTTTCGGAAGTTCTTTTTTTTTCTGCAATTAGGATTTAAACTAGGAATTTAGGTACCTGGCAATCTGGCTGCACGGCTCATCCTGTGCACACGCACCGTGCCTTCGCAAGATCGGGCCTTTGACGTGCACAATCTTGGGTGTAATTGTAATTTTTGGCGGGCGCAGTTGCAACTACAATCTTTCTGTCGTTAATGTCCTTCGTGTTTTCTCCTTCCCACCTCGCCCCCGCCTATGTATGCACATCCCTTTCTCTGCTCTGATTGGTCCCCACGTTGCATGACTGGATCGACACGTGGAGAGTGGTTTCGTCCCCCACGCCGCTGCCTGGCCATGCAAACGTAGGCACTTTCTTTTTTTCCCCTTTCTCTCACTTAGGCATAATCCCGGGTTTCTCGCGCAAGCATGCATGTTATAAATTTTGCAAGTGCGATTAGTTGGCTCTCTATGACTTTGGAAGTTAGCGCGGTCAGTGAGGATCGGCTAACGAGTAAGCTTGGAAGGTGAGTAAATGAGAGAGTTGGGCGATCCGACAAGCTGGTGCTGAGTATGCGGGGTTGACATGTGGGCCGCGATGGACTGTAACGCACGGGCGAACCTGGCTTGCATATTCGGACCAAGTAGGGTGACAACTCTATGTTGATGCGAGGTGACGGACTGCCCGCATAGGGAATGGTGTGGAGAGAGAGGTAGAGAGAGAGGACAGATGTGCATGGGGTGGTGTCTTTCTTCCAACCTGCTGTATAATTTTTTATTCCAACATTTGTCAATTTTGTTGCGGCGATCTCGGATGTCCTAGAGAATCGCCGTGGATCTTCTGTTTGTTGTGTGTTGTTGAATGAACTTGCGCCCTTCTCCCACCCCTTCTCAAGTGGTCTTTTGATTCTCCCATTTTGTTTTGCTCAATAGTATTAGCTTAATCCAAATTTTGTCACTTTCTAGTATTTATCCGCGTTACACGATAACTTCGGATCTGGTTAGATATGCTCGTCGTGCATATTTTTGTTCGATTGCCCGCCTTTGATTCTTGTGTGACCTCGGGAATGTTGTGATGTGTTGGTCCTCGACGCCAGAGCGGTTGCTCCTCCTTCTTTCTTCCGTTACCAATGGCATGGATATGCGTGTAATGGCTGGATGATGTCTGCAAAGAAGGGTAGTTGCATGCATGCAGGATAGGATCGATACGCCAACAAGACTGCTCACCACGGACCAGCTGACGTGGAAGGCCAAGATCCGAGCCATTCCTGCTCATGCGTGCGCTCGTGTAGGACAACGATTAAAAAAGCGGAGTCGCGACAAACGTGCACGTCTGCATGAGTCGACCTCGGCCTTGCTTCACCATAAGAAATGCGTATCCGCCAAATAGGAGATGGCTACAGAAGCGCCCTTCTGGGTCACTGATCATGAAAGCTTAAGGGACCCGGAATATCGTGAATACTCGGAGAGAGAACAACTTAGACGACGGGGGAACCTGAGAAATCCTGAATATCCGCGTCGAACTGAAAACGATCGACTGTGTGAGGGGGACTTTCAGTGGGCTATAGGCAGGAATCCTAGGATCCCAGACTATCCCAACACCAATAATACCCAATATTATATATCTTCGGGTTTTGTCGCTATCAATACCGACTTTCCTCCCTTCTATCGTCTCCTTCCGTATCACGAGCTCACAGTAGTACTGTGGAATTCCATAGCTCGCTATTGGCCCCGCACGCCGTGCGTGGAATGCCAGGGAGACCTCGCGTATCGAGCTGTGGGATTTATCTGACGAACCCGAACCGAAGTCGAGCAGAGCGCGCACAGCCTCCGTCTGAGGCCAGCCTCGTCGGATTTCGAGGCCTGCTACGAGCGACACGAGCGACTGTTCAGACAGCGCGACAGCCATAGCGTCCTGCGGGTCCACCAAATTCAAATCCGCCCCCGGCGACGAAGCCAGCGAAGATGGTAATTCGATTTTCTGCGATGCATCTTGTGCCTACCATCTTGCACAACTGTCCCTAAACCTTGCCACAGGAGATCTCAGTTCTGACCTGGGACTCCACCCCCACTTTCCTAAAATCCTTGGCACACCCCCTTTTCGCACTTCCGGGCCCCCATCCCACTCCGAACAGGAAGTCGCGCTGGGCGTGAGGTTGGGCATCACAACATTGCCTAGGGAAAGGCTCTAAGGAATATTTGCTGTCTGACCAAAAACCTGGGCTGGTGCTCATTAGGAAAAAAGACACAGAACGATCATGCTTGCCGACTGAAGTGCCAGTGCGACAAGGCTCGCTAGATAGTGCTTCAACTAGGGCTGGGAGAGGTTTGTCATGGCCTAGCGCTGGTGTCTGCAACCGATGTCCGGTATACCCGACAGGGCCAAAAACAAGTGGCCCCGTAGATGAGGAAGCAGAGGTTACGCTAAGGAAGCAGAAAGATGAGGTAGGTAGGGGTGGGTCCTGTGAGCACCGAAAAAAAAAAAAAAAAAAAAAAAAAAAAAAAAAAAAAAGCCAACCGACGACAGACACCTCCAGAGGCCTACCCTTCTTCCCGGGATCATAGCGCACCCTGAAAATGAACGTATACAAGGGATTTTTCCGGCCCCATACAGTCAAAATGAGGGTCCGTTGTGTTCGGGAGTAGCCTGTGGCATCCACCCTCTACCACCACATGGACCTTTTCCAACCCCCCC